GTTGACCCTCTAGCTCCTTGTGGCAGGGCTGCCTGTGGCTCCCCGGGCTCAGCTCAGCTGGGGGCTCCCTCATTTTGGTGAGAGATTAAGAGTGTTTCTGCAATAAAAATAACTGTCATAACTGGATGCTGGTGTCTACAGGGACACTTGCGGTGTCTCTTGACATAAGGGCGGTGATGCTCAGTCTTCCTTGCCCTTCACAGGTAGGGTGTGAGCCAGCCGTGACAGCCAAGGTGACAAGCTGGGTGTACCTAATACTTTTGCTTCCCTGCTTTGCCCCCTCTCTGTACCCTCCAGCATTACACAAAGTCCACGACGCTGAAAATCGCACTCACTCCCCTCCCCGCGTCCCAGTGCACAGGGGTGAAGCCCCTGTGAACACCCTGCAGGGGTTTTAACATCACACGGTTAAAAAATGGTGCACAGGGGGAAATGTGCTATAGCACGAGGGTGCTGCGCTTGGGAAGCAAGAAGTATTTTGCCACCAAAGTCACCGCTTCCTTCTCAGGGTGCTCCATGTGGCTTCTGCGCTGGCGCTGCCTTAACCACCCCTGCACAAAGAGGGGTTTACCTGCTAGCCCCAAGGCAATGCTCCAGCCTTTATTCCAAAATATTGTGACTTTAAAAGAAAAGAGTTTTTTCTTTAAACGCCTGTGCAAGGGAAAAATGACCCAGACACATCCCCACCCTGCCCGGCCTCAGCAATGGCCTGGGCTCCTCCTCGGACGACTGGGCAGCTGGGACTGTGCCTGAGCCTTGGAAAACCATTATGTTTCCCATCACATCCAGTTCTTTCCAGTGCAAACCTCCCACACATGGGACTTCAGCTCTGCATCTGTTCCTGGGCTGTCTTCATCTTTCCCAGGTTTTTGTGTGTCCCAGGACGGGTTGAGCCAGGAAAACATTCAGTTTGTTTTAGCTGATTTGCCTCTGTGGCTTTAATCTTCAAATGAATCTTACACATCTCAGGAATTTATTGCTTGCTTCAAAACACTAATCCCCAGGGCTCTGACCACGGGGAGGGCTCCGCAGGCAGGCAGCCCTGCCTGCAGCACGGACAGGCAGAGCCACCTGAGCTCCAGCAGCAGCAAAATGATTTCAGCTGGGGAAAGGGCACAGGTTTCCAATAAAAGGGCTGAGTTGCAGCTTAGAAGAGCTGGAGCTTGGGAGGAGTATGTGGGAGAGCAGAGCAGAGCAGATTTAAAAAAAAAAAAAATTCAGCTTCTTATCTCAACCTTGGCTGTTGGGCTGTGCTTCTCTGATGTCCTTCACATCACTGTTTTTTCTCTAGCCAACACCCCCAGGTGCCTGTTCAGTTCTGTGTGCTCATGTGCAGCTGGTAAAGAAGCTCTGGGGATTACCTGAGAGGTGCTGGCGGTGTGGGACACGCTCCCAGCCCCCCGGCTCTCCCTGGGCAGGGGCTTAGGCTTGTTGTAGAGGATATTGTCCCAGCAGTGGGGCTTGGGGGCTCTGTGAAGCCTGGGACTGGAGGTAGGGAGGTGATGGGTGGTTATGTGGGGGTCTTAGGGCTGGCTTTGGGGGGTGTTGCCTTGTTGGGGTGCTTGTACCTCCTTGCAGGCATGGTGAGGGAGGGTGGCAGGGAGCCAGCTCCAGGGAGAGGTGTCTGCTCTCTCCAGATCCCCACGGGGGAGACTGGGGATACTGGGGGCTCCTCTCGCCCTGGGACAGCAGCTTCTCAGTGGTTGGTGCTGCCATCCCAAATGGATTTCCTGGATACGGCTGTAAAAGGACCATTTCTGCACACAGGGAGGGAAATGCATCTCTGGGAGGGGTTGTGATCTCTTCAGAGGGGAGCTCCAACCTTTGACTTAATTAAACAAGCAAGCAGACAGAGGCAGCCTGTAGCTGGGTTTGGAACTGGTGAAAAGGGGTGGATTTGCTGTAAGTAGCTCTTTGTGGCAGGAAAACAACCCCGCACCGGAGAAGAATTGCTGAGGCTGGAGCCCTGCTTTTCTCTGCTTGCTCCTCCAGAGTCACATTAAAAACCTGCACAGCGAATGTGATGGTGGGGACGTGCATGGGGCGGTGGCCCGGGCGCCTGAGCCCCTAGGGCTGCCAGCTTCCCTCAGCACGTTTGTCTTGCACGCGCCAAACTTGAAACCACTGTGCCGGAGGCGCTGGGATCTCCGCAGGGCAGAGAGCCTCCTGTTCCCATCCGGGGCCGTCTCTTCCACTCCTGCCCATGGTAAGTGGAAGAGCCAAACGGGGACAGGGAGACCCCGAACCTGCCCTGCACAGAGCAAGACTCAGGTACGTGGCACTGCTGTCCCAATGCATTTGTGCCCCTCTCTGCGAGGGACGAGGCCCTGGGGAGGCAGGAACTTATCGCTGCCCACCTGGGCTGTTCTGCAATGTCTTGTCTTCTGGTCAAAAGATTTATTTTTTTATGATCTAGTTAATCCCCTTACCTTCTCTCAAATGATGCAGCCTTTACTCTTATTCTACATGCTTTTTGGACTCATTAGATGACTAAATGAGGTCTTTTGGGTTTTTCCCCTACTTGGGGAAGCTTGGGACTCAGGAGCCTGAGTAAAAGATGTGGTTTTGACCAAAGCAAGCTGACTGTGGAGTATCTTTGCACACTCTTTTCCCAAACACCTGCTGGATCAGCACTGTCCAGCTGACATTTATCGCTTCTGTGCCTAAAACACGCCAAACACTACAGTGTCCGAAGGCCGACGGTGCTCCCACTTCCCCGAGACTTTTTACACCCGTTTGCTTTACTCTCCAGCTCGCTGCCCTGCCTGCGGGCTCACCCCCCGCTGCCTGGGCAGAGCGAGGAGCAGGCAGCCCTCCCCCGAAGCCCGCCGGCTGCCCCTCAGCGGCTCTTTGCCAGCGGGGCGGCTATTAGCAGCAATACGGCAGGGCGGTCGGAGCTTTACGGTAGCGGGTGTTTCCTAGCAGC